AGGGAAAATCAACCGGCCCCAAGACCGTACCATCATGAACCAGACACTGGAGAATTTGCAAGGGAAGAGTATTGTTGGTGACTGGAGCATTTTTTCCTGCCTGAAGTCACCTCCTTGTCCTGTGGGATATACTGTGTGCATTGCCAAAGCTGACATTTCACAATATTTTTGGCAGTTATACTTGGCATGGAAAAATCCTTTCCCCTTCTGTGCACCTTTCATGCACGATTTCTGAACTCCTTTGGAGTGAGCAATGCTCCTGACTGCATGGCAACGCTTATAATTTGACATTTCCCCCCTTTTCTTCTCTCTGTGCTACCTAGGGACATTGCTCTCTGATCTGCTCGCGGGCTGCCTTGGGTAGAGCGATGAATTGACTTGTAGGGAGAGAAATAAATCGCACGTGGCAAACCCCGACTTTCTCCCTTCCTTATCTCATCCCTCTCCAGTTCTTCAGCTCTGCCCAGGGTTTGGCTCTCCTCCCAGCCAGCCAGGCTGCAGCCTTGCCGTAGTTTCAAATCACAGAATCATAGAAAATAGGATTGGATGAGACGGTCAGGGGTTATCCCGTCATCCCTTGCCCTCCAGCCTGATTACCTGCCTCATAAACGGTTCTTGACAGCTGTCAGCCTAATCTGCTCTTGAAAAACTCCAGTGGAAGTGATTCTGCATCATACACGTGTAAACTGTTCTAGTGCGTTATTATCCTTGGGGGCTTACACTGGGTTTCCTAAATTCTAGTCTCAGTATTTCCTGCTGTGTTTTAGGACCAGAAATTCTTGTCCTGTCTCCTTTTGGCAGCTGAAACAGGATAACCTCTTCCTTCTGCAGCAGTCTTTTTCAGTATTCGAAGATCATGATTACCTCTCTCCTCAGTCTTCTAGCCTGAGGTGGAAACCACCCTGCTTCTTTCAGTCTTTCAGGGTTTCACATCATTCCCATTGATTTCTTGCAACATCTTTCCAGATGGTCCCGTTCTTGGTTGAAAAGCGGTGCCCAGCGTGGCTCACCCGTGAAGTGCTGGGCTGAAGGAGAACAAATCACATTTCTGTCTCTGCCTCTCTACAACCTGTTTCTTTTGGAAAAATCTGCCCTCGTTACCTCCAGTTCAGCCTCACATCAGTGAGCGCGTCAGAGAGTTTCACCAAAATCTCTCAAAATATCACGATTCGTGCCTCCTGCAAGGCCTCTTAGCAGAAAATTAGGTTGGTTTGATGTGATTTGCTTTGGACCAAACCACGCTGGCTGTTGCTTTTCCCCTTGTTCTCCAGTGGATACTTACAGATGGATTTTGTTGACCCATTCAGTGTCTTTTCAGGAGTGGAAGTTAGGTTGAGTATGTAATTCCCCGAGTCCTCCTTTCCCCCATTTTAATGATATTCTTTATGTTTGTCCTGTTCATGTTTGGACACTTTGCCTGTTCTTTATGAGTTCTCAAAACCCCTCGCGTGCTGCTCCAAAATTGCTTTACCAACCTCCCTGCGTACATTGGCATGAATTAAATCAGCCGATGCGGAAACATCCCTCACGTGTCAGAAATCTTTAACCTACTGTCTTCTTATTTTAGCCTGAGTCCTCAGCCCTTTTTCGCTGACATTTATTGTTAGCCATCTGATCACGGCTGACCTTTTAAATGAAGACTGAAGCAAAAAAAAAAGATGGCATGCTTGGTTTTTTCCTCTGATACTATCACTCTTTC